AGCCAAGCGAAGCGAAGCGAAGCCAAGCAAAACCAAGCAAAGCCAAGCGAAGCCAAGCGAAGCCAAGTGAATCCAAGCGAAGCCAAGCAAAGCGAAGCCAAGCAAAGCCAAGCGAAGCCAAGTGAAGCAAGCGAAGCCAAGCGAAGCCAAGCGAAGCGAAGCGAAGCAAAGCCAATCAAAGCCAAGCGAAGCCAAGCCAAGCGAAGCAAAGTGAAGCGAATCCAAGCGAAGCCAAGCGAAGCCAGGCAAAGCCAAGCAAAGCAAAGAGAAGCCAAGCAAAGCCAAGCAAAGCGAAGCAAAGCCAAGTAAAGCCAAGCAAAGCCAAGCAAAGCCAAGTGAAGCCAAGCGAAGCCAAGCGAAGCCAAGCAAAGTGAAGCCAAGCGAAGCCAAGCGAAGCCAAGCGAAGCCAAGGGGAGCCAAGGGAAGCCAAGCGAAGCGAAACCAAGCGAAGCCAAGCGAAGTGAAGCCAAGCGAAGCAAAGCCAAGCGAAGCCAAGCGAAGCCAAGCAAAGCCAAGCAAAGCAAAGAGAAGCCAAGCGAAGCCAAGCGAAGTGAAGCAAAGCCAAGTAAAGCCAAGCGAAGCCAAGAGAAGCCAAGTGAAGCCAAGTGAAGCCAAGCAAAGCCAATCGAAGCGAAGCATAGCCAAGCAAAGAGAAGCGAAGCCAAGAGAAGCAAAGGCAAGCCAAGCGAAAGGAAGACAAGACAAGCGAAGCCAAGCAAAGCCAAGCGAAGCCAAGCAAACCCAAGCGAAGCCAAGCCAAGCGAAGCGAAGCCACGCAAAGCGAAGCAAAGCGTAGCCAAGCAAAGCAAAGCCAAGCCAAGCCAAACAAAGCAAAGCGAAGCGAAGCAAAGCGAAGCGAAGCAAAGACTAGCGAAGACGAGCCAGGCGATGCCAAGCGAAGCCAAGTGAAGCTAAACAAAGCCGAGCGAATCAAAGCGAAGCCAAGCAAAGCCAATCAAAGCCAAGCAATGCCAAGTAATGCCAAGCGAAGCCAAACGAAGCGAAGAGAAGCGAAGCGAAGCAAAGCGAAGCAAAGCGAAGCAAAGCGAAGCCAAGCGAAGCAAAGTGATTCAAAGCCAAGCGAAGCCAAGCGAAGCCAAGCAAAGCCAAGCAAAGCCAAGTTAAGCGAAGCCTCGCAAAGCCAAGCGAAGCCAAGCGATGCCAAGCGAAGACAAGCCAAGCGAAGCCAAGTGAAGCAAAGCGAAGCCAAGTGAAGCAAAGCGAAGCCAAGTGATTCGAAGCCAAGCGAAGCCAAGTGAAGCCAAGCGAAGCCAAGTGAAGCCAAGCGAAGAAAAGCGAATCCAAGCAAAGCCAAGCGAAGCCAAGCGAAGGGAAGCCAAGCGAAACAAGCGATGCGAAGCGAAGCCGAGCGAAGCGGAGCCAAGCGAAGCCACGCGAAGCGAAGGGAAGCCAAGAGAAGCCATGCGAAGCAAAGCCAAGCAAAGCCAAGCCAAGCGAAGCAAAGCGAAGCAAAGCGAAGCGAAGCAAAGCGAAGCGAAGCGAAGCAAAGCGAAGCGAAGCGAAGCAAAGCGAAGCCAAGCAAAGCGAAGCGAAGCCAGGCAAAGCCAAGCGAAGCGAAGCCAAGCCAAGCAAAGCCAAGCCAAGCCAAGCAAAGCCAAGTTAAGCCAAGAAAGGCCAAGCCAAGACAAGCGAATCCAAGCAAAGCGAAGCCAAGCAAAGCCAAGCGAAGCCAAGCGAATCCAAAAGAAGCCAAGCGAAGCCAAGCGAAGCCAAGCGATGCCAAGCGAAGACAAGCCAAGCGAAGCCAAGTAAAGCCAAGGGAAGCCAAGCAAAGCCAAGCGAAGTGAAGCCAAGCGAAGCAAAGTGAAGCAAAGCCAAGTGAAGCTTAGCGAAGGCAAGCGAAGCCAAGCGAAGCCAAGTGAAGCGCAGCCAAGCCAATTGAAGCAATGCCAAGCGATGCCAAGCGAAGCCAAGCAAAGCCAAGCAAAGCCAAGCGAAGCGAATCGAAGCCAAGCGAAGCGAAGCCAAGCGAAACCAAGCGAAGCTTAGTGAAGCCAAGCAAAACCAAGCGAAGCCAAGCAATGCCAAGCAAAGCCAAGCACAGCGAAGCCAAGGGAAGTCAAGCAAAGCCAAGAGAAGCCAAGCAAAGCCAAGCAATGCCAAGCGAAGCCAAGCGAAGCCAAGCGAAGCCAACGGAAGCCAAGCGAAGTGAATCGAAGCAAAGCGAAGCCAAGCAAAGCCAAGCGAAGCGAAGCCACGCGAAGCCGAACAAAGCCAAGCAGAGCCAAGCGAAGCCAAGCAAAGCCAATTGAAGGCAAGCAAAGCCAAGCAAAGCAAAGCGAAGCAAAGCCAAGCGAAGCGAAGCCAAGCAAAGCGAAGCCAAGCGAAGCCAAGCAAAGCCATGGGAAGCCAAGCAAAGCAAAGCATAGCCAAGCGATCCCAAGCGAAGCCAAGCGAAGAGAAGGCATGCGAAGTCAAGCGAAGCGAAGCCAAGCAAATCCAAGGGAAGCCAAGCGAAGCCAAGCAAACTGAAGCCAAGCCAAGCGAAGCCAAGCGAAGGGAAGGAAAGCCGAGCGAAGCCAAGCAATTCGAAGCCAAGCGAAGCCAAGCAAAGTCAAGCGAAGCCAAGCGAAGTGAAGCGAAGGAAAGCGAAGCCAAGCGAAACCAAGCGAAGCGAAGCCACGCGAAGCCGAGCGAAGCAAAGCGAAGCCAAGCGAAGCAAAGTGAAGCCAAGCAAAGGCAAGGGATTCGAAGCCAAGCAAAGCCAAGTGAAGCCAAGCGAAGCCAAGCGAAGCCAAGCGAAGAAAAGCAAAGCCAAGCAAAGCCAAGCAAAGCGAAGCAAAGCAAAGCAAAGCCAGGCAAAGCCAATCGAATCGAAGTGAAGCCAAGCGAAGCCAAGCGAAGCCAAGTGAAGCCAAGCAAAGCGAAGCGAATTGAAGCCAAGCCAAGCGAATCCAAGCAAAGCGAAGCCAAGCAAAGCCAAGCCAAGCCAAGCGAATCCAAGCAAAGCCAAGCGAAGCCAAGCAAAGCCAAAGGAAGCCAAGCGAAGCCAAGTGATGCCAAGTGAAGCCTAGCGAAGCCAAGCGAAGCCAAGCGAAGCCAAGCAAAGCCAAGGGAAGCGAAGCGAAGCCAAGCAAAGCCAAGCAAAGCGAAGTGAAGCCAAGCGACGCAAAGCAAAGCCAAGCGAAGCCAAGCGAAGCCAAGCAAAGCCAAGCGAAGCCAAGCAAAGCCAAGGGAAGCGAAGCAAAGCCAAGCGAAGCCAAGCAAAGCGAAGTGAAGCCAAGCGACGCAAAGCAAAGCCAAGCGAAGCCAAGCGAAGCCAAGTGAAGACAAGCAAAGCGAAGCAAAGCCAAGTGAAGTGAAGCCAAGCGATGCCAAGCGAAGAGAAACAAAGCCAAGCGAAGCCAAGCGAAGCCGAGCGAAGCCAAGCAAAGCCAAGCGAAGCGAAGCCAAGCCAAGCAAAGCCAAGCAATGCGAAGCCAAGCGAAGTGAAGCCAAGCCAAACCAAGCGAAGCCATGCGATGCCAAGGGAAGCCAAGCGATGCCAAGCAAAGACAAGCGAAGCCAAGTGAAGCCAAGCAAGGCCAAGCAATGCCAAGCGAAGCCAAGCGAAGCCGAGCGAAGAAAAGCAAAGCCAAGCAAAGCCAGGCGAAGCCAAGCAAAGCGAAGCCAAGCGAAGCTGTGATGCAAGGCGAATCCGAGTGAAGCGAAGCCAAGCAAAGTCAAGCGAAGCCAAGCAAAGCGAAGGGAAGCCAAGAGAAGCCATGCGAAGCAAAGCCAAGCAAAGCCAAGCGAAGCCAAGCGAAGCTAAGCAAAGCGAAGCGAAGCAAAGCAAAGCGAAGCCAGGCAAAGCCAAGCGAAGCCAAGCCAAGCCAAGCGAAGCCAATCAAAGCCAAGTGAAGCCAAGCAAAGCGAAGCGAAGCGAAGCCAAGACATGCGAATCCAAGCAAAGCGAAGCCAAGCGAAGCCAAGCGAAGCCAAGCGATGCCGAGCGAAGACAAGCCAAGCGAAGCCAAGCGAAGCCAAGCGAAGCCAAGGGAAGCCAAGCAAAGCCAAGCGAAGTGAAGCCAAGCGGAGCGAAGCGAAGCAAAGCCAAGCGAAGCTAAGCGAAGGCAAGCGAAGCCAAGCGAAGCCAAGTGAACCGCAGACAAGCGAAGCGAAGCCAAGCCAAGCGATGCCAAGCAAAGCCAAGCAAAGCCAAGCCAAGCAAAGCGAAGCCAAGCAAAGGGAAGCCAAGCAAAACCAAGCAAAGTAAAGCAAAGCGAAGTGAAGCCAAGCAAAGCGAAGCGAAGCCAAGCAATTCGAAGCCAAGCGAAGCCAAGCGAAGCCAAGCGAAGTGAAGCGAAGCAAAGCGAAGCCAAGCGAATCCAAGCGAAGCCAAGCTAAGCGAAGCCACGCGAAGCCGAGCAAAGCCAAGCAGAGCCAAGCGAAGCCAAGCAAAGCCTATCACAGCCAAGCAAAGCCAAGCAAAGCAAAGCGAAGCAAAGCCAAGCAAAGCGAAGCCAAGCGAAGCGAAGCCAAGCGAAGCCAAGCAAAGCCATGGGAAGCCAAGCAAAGCAAAGCATAGCCAAGCGATCCCAAGCGAAGCCAAGCGAAGCGAAGCCATGCGAGGCCAAGCGAAGCGAAGCCAAGCAATGCGAAGTGAAGCCAAGCAAAGCCAAGGGAAGCCAAGCGAAGCCAAGCAAACTGAAGCCAAGCCAAGCGAGGCAAAGCAAAGCCAAGCGAAGGGAAGCAAAGCCAAGCGAAGCCAAGCGAAGCGAATCGAAGCGAAGCAAAGCGAAGTGAAGCCAAGCGAAGCGAAAAGAAGCCAACCGAAGCGAAGCCAACCGAAGCGAAGCGAAACCAAGCGAAGCTTAGTGGAAGCCAAGCGAAGCCAAGCAAACTGAAGCCAAGCAAAGCGAAGCGAAGCGAAGCCAAAAGAAGCCAAGCGAAGCGAAGCCAAGCGAAGCGAAGCAAAGCCAAGCGAAACCATGGGAAGCTTAGTGAAGCCAAGCGAAACCAAGCTAAGCCAAGCGATGATAAATGTGTAGTATTCTGTGGTGTAGTTTGCTCTAGCTGGTTGTGGGCTATTGGGTTTTGGGCAAAAGGACTTGGGTTGGTTGGCAAGGTTTGAACTCGTTACCTTTCCAACCCATACAACCTCAAATCCACTACAACATCTTTGATGTTGCAGTCATGGCACTTGAGAGTGTTGGGGTTTGGTCTAGGGCAAGGGTTGGTGGTGTTTGACAATCACATACTGCAACTTTTCCAGATCGAACTGCTTCGCTTCTCGTTTTTACTAGGTGATTCATGGCTGCCTAGCCAAATTACCAGAATACCCCCTCACACTGATTTCGTCATAATCGGCGGCTCAGATCTTGGTTATGAACGTGCTTTACCATTCTGGAAAGTAGAGATTAAGACCTTTCCAACGCGTATAAGCTCATTTCTTGAAGTTACCTGAGCAGCACGCAATGATTCGTTGAGGTCGTCAGACTTAATCTCTAATTAGTTCTCTCCAGATTTGCACGATTTCCATCAGTGGTATCAGAGCCACGGTTAGAGGACGTTCTTTCCTCCATTGGAAGAGATCTAGAGAGGCTTGAAGTGCTCCAGATCTAGGGTTTGACATGGCCCAAAAGTTGGATGGCCCTCCTAGGTTTACCGGCTCGGACTTTTCGCTATGGAGGTTCCAGTTCACACTATGGCTAGGTATTAAGGACCTAGAAAGTGTGTTGGATGGATCGGAGAAGCGACCACGAGCTGACTCTGGGGAGGCGTCTACTGGAGCAACCAGCCAAGTGGGATCCGGGGCTGGGGGAGCATCGTTGAGTGGGGGGAATGAAGGAGGAACCGCTGCAACTCGAACCGGAAGGTCGCAACCAAGTCGCGAGGAGTTGCTCAAAGCTCAAGAAGCATGGGATCGGAAGGATCGCCAGGCATTTCAGTACCTGTGTTGGGCTTTGGAGGGGCAACTTGAGCTTCTTAAGATGCTGATTGACCTGAAGGGGAAGGAAGGTGCAGCAGCTGCAGCTTGGAAAAGAGTGCAAGATAGGCACTTGCAGAAAGGGCTTCTAAGCGTGCTTACTTGGCGGAAGCGGTTTTACACCATGGAGCGGAACTATGGGGAGGGGGAGACCATGGTTCAGTATCTCCAGAGGGTGGATGAGAATGTGAGGGCTTTGGAGGAGCTGGATTACACGGTAGATGAGAAGGAGATCATCTATACTGCACTCCAAGGGTTGGATCAAGCGGCTAATGAGGCATTACTACAGTACCTTCACCTCGAGCAACAGAAATGGACCAAGGTGTGGATTTGGGAGGTTCTAATTTCTGATGAGGCTCGCAAGGTTGATGCTGGAAGAGGCCTAGAAGGAGGCATGGGTGCAGCAGATAAAGCTTCCTTCAGGAAAGGCTATCAACAGCAAGGAGGTGGGGGGAAGAAGAAAGAGTTGGACAAATGCCTTGTGCCCGGATGTAACAAAAAACACTCTTGGAAGAGTTGCTGGAGTAGGCCTGAGGGATGGAAGCCTCACGGCTACTCTGGAGAGGCCCCACCAGTGACCAAACCTGATTGGGTGGAGATAAGGATGAGAAGGGGAAGCAGCAACTGCTGGAGTGTGTGAAGAAGGGGGAGCTGAAGGGGGTGGAGGTCAAGGAAGGAGCTGGGCAGCAGAGCAAATGTCCCGACTGCACGTCTGGAAAGCTGCCTAGAACCTCATTCCCTATCTCCTCTGATCATGCCTCGACTCCCCTTGAGCTGGTGCACACGGATGTGTGTGGACCGATGCAAACTCCTGACCGGGCAAGGGGCAGCAGGTACTTTGTCACCTTTCTTGATGACTTCAGTCGACTTAGCTGGGTCACCTTGGTGAAGACCAAGGATGAGGTGGCAAAGGTGTTTAAGCGGTGGATACGCTATGTGGAGAGGGAATCAGGGGCCAAGGTAAAGGTGTTAAGGTCAGATCGGGGTGGAGAGTACCTTGGGAAAGAACTTCAAACCTTCTTGGAAGAAAAGGGTATTTCCCACCAGCTCTCTGTACCTTACACGCCGCAGCAAAATGGGGCAGCGGAGCGGCTTAACAGGACCTTGACCGATTTGGCTCGGGCCATCCTTTCCCATGCCGAGCTTGATAACACTTGGTGGGGGGCAGCAGTGCAGTATGCCAACTGGGTGAAGAACAGGATGGGCAGCAAGGGGCTTGGAGGCAAGAGCCCATACTCCTTATGGACAGGGAAGGTGCCGAATGTTTCCATGGCACGAGTGTGGGGGTGCATGGCACAGTATAAGGTACCTGACCAGCAAAGAAGGAAGCTAGATCCTAAGGCACAGTGGGGGATCTTCCTTGGGGTTTCTGAGAGGAGCAAGGCTTGGGTGCTGTGGAGTGTAGCTGACCAGCGTGTGATGGAGAGCCGTGATGTGGTTTTCCATGAGGGGCTGAATTTTAAGGGGTGGAAGGAGCATGGTACAAGCCAAAGTGGGACTTCCATTCAAGACCCTCATACGGCTTCTATCTTTGAGGGGGCATGGGAGGACCCTGGAGATGAAGGGGAGGAGCAGCAGGAGGAGCCAGAACCAGCTGATCCTAACCATGAGGAGTCCCGAGAGACAGATTCTACCCCTCAGCCAGCCACGCAGGCCGATGCGCGTGATGATCAGCCGGAGCAGCATGTGCCTTCAACTCCATCGAGAAGCAGTTGGCAGCAGTTGTTGGACCAGCAGCTGTCCAAGACTCCGAGGACTCCAATGAAGAGGGTGACTTGGGAGGAGAAGCTGCGGAGGCTGGAAGAAGGAGAGGCAACACCTCTGCGACGCAGTGCTCGAATTTCCCAGCCACCTGAAAGGTTTACCCCGGGGCACATTGCACGCATGCATGATCATCTTGTGTCTGATTTGGATGATTGCATGCTTGTGGACATGCATGGGCATGAGTATGCTCTTGATGTGTGTCTCATGGGTCAGGTGCATGAGCCTAGGTCAGTCCACGAGGCGCTGAACCGTCCAGAATGGGTTGAGTCCATGCATGAGGAGCTTGAGTCTCACAAGGTAAATGGATCATTTGAGCTGGTTGATCCAGCAGTGGTACCACCTGGTTTGGAGGTCCTCAGGTGTCAATGGGTTTGGAAATACAAGCATAACCCTGATGGTACTGTTGAGAGGCCTAAGTCCAGATTGGTGGTGATGGGAAACACGCAGAAATTGGGAGTACACTATGAAGAAGTGTACTCTCCAGTTGGGAAGCATGCGACCTTGAGAGGTATGCTTGGAATTTCAGCTGCTTTGGGGCTTGATATCCATCATATGGATGTCAAGACAGCCTTCCTCCATGGGGATTTGGAGGAAGAGCTTTACATGCGGCAGCCCCCTGGTTTTGATGATGGGTCTCACCGAGTGTGTCGCCTCAAAAAGTCCATTTATGGGCTAAAGCAAGCCCCACGACAGTGGTACCTAAAATTTGATGAGGCTCTCATGGATTTTGGGTTTGAGAGATCTGAGTGTGACCCTGCCTTGTACCACTTTGTGAGAGATGAGGAGCGGATCTCCTTATTCCTCTATGTGGATGACCTTTTGCTCCTATGCTCTAGCAAGGCTTTGCTAGATCGAGTGAAAGAGTTCTTGTCCTCGCGTTTTCGCATGAAGGACTTGGGGGAGGTGAAGTACTACTTGGGAATGCAAATTGAACGTGATGAGAGTGGTATCTTGATTCATCAAGAGAGGTACATTCTTAACATGCTTCAGTCCTTTGGTCTCTCAGAGGCCAACCCCGTGCGTACTCCTCTCCCAACAGGCTTTGATGTGCATGCCTATGAGGATGAACCCTTGCTGCGAGATGAGCTGGTCAAGCTCTACCAAAGCATTGTGGGATCCCTCATGTATGCTTGTACTACCACACAGCCACAGATTGCCTTTGCAGTCTCACAGCTATCTAAGGTCGCCTCTTGTCCTAAAATGTTTCACTTGCAGGCCGCTAAGAGAGTGCTGAGGTACCTGAAAGGTGGTGTCAAGTCAGGTATCTTCTTCCAAACACAGCCCCAGTCTCAGGTCCAGCTAGTTGGCTTCAGTGATGCTGACTATGCTGGAGATTCCGCAAGTCGCAGGAGCCACAGTGGGTATGTGTTCTGTCTGAATGGGGCAGCTATCTCTTGGCAGAGCAAGAGGCAGCCCGTGGTAGCACTCTCTACCACTGAGAGTGAGTATATAAGTCTGTGTCAGTGCATTCAGGAGGGTGTCTGGCTGAGGCGTTTGTTTGGGGAGTTTGGTCATGATCATGCTGGTGGTGTGCCTGTGTTTGTGGATAATCAGTCTGCCATTGCCCTTGCACAGAATGCATGCTTGCATGGCCGCACCAAACACATGCAGGTCCGGTGGCATTTCATTCGGGAGATGGTAGCTGCGGGTGAGGTGATTTTGCAGTGGTGCCCTACCAACCGTCAGGCTGCTGATATTCTTACCAAGTCTCTTCCATTTGAGTGCCATGGTGTGTGCATGACCTTGCTCGGGATGCAGCCCCATGATGACAGGGTTCCCGCAGCAGATGCCGGCGTCTTGGTGCTCCTCTCCTTGGCGGACTCCATGCTCTGGGTGGCCCCAACCCATGAGCAAGGGGGAGTGGTGTGAAGTCTTTTGCCCTATGGTGTTGAGCCACACCCAGCACGAGCAAGGGGGAGTGATAAATGTGTAGTATTCTGTGGTGTAGTTTGCTCTAGCTGGTTGTGGGCTATTGGGTTTTGGGCAAAAGGACTTGGGTTGGTTGGCAAGGTTTGAACTCGTTACCTTTCCAACCCATACAACCTCAAATCCACTACAACATCTTTGATGTTGCAATCATGGCACTTGAGAGTGTTGGGGTTTGGTCTAGGGCAAGGGTTGGTGGTGTTTGACAATCACATACTGCAACTTTTCCAGATCGAACTGCTTCGCTTCTCGTTTTTACTAGGTGATTCATGGCTGCCTAGCCAAATTACCAGAATACCCCCTCACACTGATTTCGTCATAATCAGCGGCTCAGATCTTGGTTATGAACGTGCTTTACCATTCTGGAAAGTAGAGATTAAGACCTTTCCAACGCGTATAAGCTCATTTCTTGAAGTTACCTGAGCAGCACGCAATGATTCGTTGAGGTCGTCAGACTTAATCTCTAATTAGTTCTCTCCAGATTTGCACGATTTCCATCAAGCGATGCCAAGCGAAGTCAAGCGAAGACGAGCGAAGCCAAGCAAAGCCAAGCCATGCCAAGCAAGGCCAAGCGAAGCCAAGCGAAGACAAGCGAAGCGAAGCAAAGCCAAGAGAAGCGAAGTGAAGCCAAGCGAAGCCAAGCGAAGTAAAGCGAAGCGAAGCCAAGCAATTCGAAGCCAAGCGAAGCCAAGCAAAGTCAAGCGAAGTCAAGCAAAGTGAAGCGAAGGAAAGCAAAGCCAAGCGAAGCCAAGCGAAGCCAAGCGAAGCGAAGCCACGCGAAGCCGAGCGAAGCCAAGTGATGCCAAGCGAAGCCAGTCGAAGCCAAGCAAAGCCAAGCAAAGCAAACCGAAGCGAAGCCAAGCAAACCGAAGCGAAGCCAAGCCAAGCCAAGCAAAGCGAATCGAAGCCAAGCCAAGCCAAGCCAAGCCAAGCAAAGCGAAGCGAAGCGAAGTGAAGCCAAGGGAAGCCAAGCAAAGCCAAGCGAAGCCAAGCCAAGCAAAGCCAAGTCAAGCCAAGCCAAGCCAAGCCAAGCAAAGCCAAGCAAAGCCAAGCGAAGCCAAGCCAAGCAAAGCCAAGTCAAGCCAAGCCAAGCCAAGCCAAGCAAAGCCAAGCAAAGCCAAGCGAAGCCAAGCGAAGCCAAGCGATGCCAACCGATGTTGTGTGATGTTATCAAATGCTATCACATTCTGTCTACCTCCCATCCCTTGTTTCAATTCGCATGTATGGTTTGAATGTCTGTGAAAGAAGTTGTGTGTGGTGTGTTCTGGAGTTGGGACCATATGGGGTTGGGGAAATTCGTCACTCCACTGTAGCAGCTGCAAAGCGAAGCCAAGCCAAGCCAAGCCAACCCAAGCAAAGCCAAGAGAAGCCAAGCAAATCCAAGGGATGCCAAGCGAAGCCAAGCGAAGCCAAACAAAGCCAAGCACAGCCAAGCGAAGCCAAGCAAAGCCAAGCCAAGCCAAGCTAAGCGAAGCCAAGCGAAGCCAAGCGAAGCTAAGCGAAGCCAAGCAAAGCCAAGCAAAGCCAAGTGATGCCAAGCAAAGCCAAGCAAAGCCAAGTGATGCCAAGCAAAGCCAAGCAAAGCCAAGTGATGCCAAGCAAAGCGAAGCGAAGCCAAGGAAGCCAAGAAAAGCGAAGCAAAGCCAAGCGATGCGAAGCAAAGCCAAGCGAAGCTAAGCAAAGCCAAGCGAAGCCAAGCGAAGCCGAGTGAAACCAAGCAAAGCCAAGAAATGCGAAGCCAAGTGAAGCCAAGCCAAGCCAAGCCAAGCCAAGCAAAGCGAATCCAAGCGAAGCGAATTCAATCCAAGCGAAGCCAGGCGAAGCGAAGCCAAGCCAAGCCAAGCCAGGCCAAGCCAAGCCAAGCGAAGCTAAGCGAAGCCAAGCAAAGCCAAGCAAAGCCAAGCGAAGCCAAGTGAGGCCAAGCGGAGCCAACAAAAGCGAAGCTAAGCACAGCCAAGCCAAGCCAAGCCGAACCAAGCGAATCCAAGTGAAGCGAAGCGAAGCGAAGCGAAGCGAAGCCAAGCCAAGCCAAGCGAAGCCAAGCGGAGAGAAGAGAAGGGAAGCCAAGAGAAGCCAAGTGAAGTGAAGCCTAGCGAAGCAAAGCGAAGCGAAGCCATGGGAAGCGAAGCGAAGCCAAGCGAAGTGAAGCGAAGCGAAGCGAAGCCAAGCAAAGCCAAGCGAATCCAAGCAAAGCAAAGCGAAGCCAAGCAACGCGAAGCCAAGCCAAGGGAAGCCAAGCGATTCCAAGCGAAGCCACGCAAAGCCAAGCAATGCCAAGCGAAGCCTAGCGAAGCCAATCGAAGCGAAGCCAAGCAAAGCCAAGCGAAGCGAATCCAAGCAAAGCTAAGCAAAGCGCAGCGAAGCCAAGCGAAGCCAAGTGAAGCCAAGCAAAGCCAAGCAAAGCCAAGCGAAGCCAAGTTAAGCCAGGCGAAGCCAAGCGAAGCAAAGACATGCCAAGCGAATCGAAGAGAAGCCAAGCTAAGCCAAGCCAAGGGAAGCAAAGCGAACTCAAGCAAAGCCGAACGAACCCAAGCAAAGCCAAGCAATGCCAAGCGAAGCCAAGCGAAGCGAAGCGAAGCCAAGCGAAGCGAAGCAATGCCAAGAGAAGTGAAGCGAAGCCAAGCGAAGCGAAGTGAAGCCAAGCGAAGTAAAGCGAAGCGAAGCCAAGCAAAGCCAAGCGAAGCCAAGCGAAGTGAAGCAAAGCAATGTGAAGCCAAGCGAAGCCAAGCAAAGCGAAGCCACGCGAAGCAAAGCGAAGCCACGCGAAGCCGAGCAAAGCCAAGCGAAGCCAAGCGAAGCCAAGCGAAGCCAATCGAAGCCAAGCAATGCCAAGCGAAGCCAATCGAAGCCAATCGAAGCCAAGCAAAGTGAAGCGAAACCAAGAGAAGCCAAACGAAGCCAAGCGAAGCCAAGCGAAGCCAAGCGAAGCTTAGTGAAGCCAAGCAAAGCCTGCTGGTGCAACCCTATGGCTTGCACTCGGCTTGTCGTCCTTGTTTGTGTGTGTGCATGCATGGCATGGAATGAATTGTGAGTCTATGTCATTGCTATCTAGGGCTTTTGTGTGTGTTTGAATGGTGTATCACAATGTGGTTTGTGTCGGTCAAAACATTAGCGAGTTTTTACAACTCGCATGTCAAGTTGTCGTTTGCGTGTCGCATGTGTTTTTTCTATTTTGTCGAGTGTGAAGTCTCCATCGCGTTGCAGGTGTGTGCAGCAAGCCCCGATCAACTCAAGAAGAATTTATCTTCCAGAACCAAGATCAATAGCTCAAGATTTCAAGCCCAAGGGACACGGATAAAGATTAAATAGTGAAAATAGTAACGCTACTTCGTGTAGTGTTACATTTCACTTGGTGTAGCTCTTTGGAGGGTTTGTTTCGTGACTCTTCATGGTTGGGGACTCTGTGGTGGTGTACCACCAACCTGGACCTCGGCTCTTGGGGTATGTAGAGGCTGAGAACCAACTCCATCTCGGATTCTTCTTGCTAAGTTTGTACTTCCAAAACTATAGTGGCTGCTATACCTAGTGCCAGTCAAACCGCCATAGCGTCGTCAAATCTTCTTGGCATTTCATGATTAAACTTGATGCTGATAGAGGACAGCAAGGCGCTCCAGATTGTTAGGATTAAGGACAGAGTCTAGGTGAACTTAGGAGCTAGAATTACTCAAAATATAAATCCGAAATTCTGGACAGAAAAGTCGTCTTCACAAGAAACGACGTCGACAAAACACTAGCCGTTGGAATGTCGCGAAACTTGGATATGTTGTAGCTCTTGATCTCAGCTACCGTTCCCAATTTGAATCACGTTGATTGATGAAGTATTCGCGACGCTATGGCTTTCGACGCACTAGGGGGTAAGCTGTAGGAGGAGAACTTAACTCAATCTCAAGAGTTCAATCAAAGTTCAAGAATCTCACAAGGAATTGAGGAGCAAGAGAAAGGTTGGGATAGAAAGAGAGGGACGAGAGGGAAGGTCCCAAGAGAGTCCCCAACCAAGGAAACCCCATAAGCACAAAGATTCCCTCCCTATAGGAACCTCAACTTTGACCTTTGTCCCTTCCCAACCAATCCATCCAAGTTGGCCACCCTTGCCAACCTAGCTTGGTTGTTCCCAACCAATTTGCAGCTGTTACAGTAGAGTGACAAATTTCCCCAACCCCAAAGGTCCCAACTCCATATAGAGTCACCCCACAACTTCACTTTGTAACCGCCGCAATTGTAACGCAAGCTCATGAACTTTGAATCTTCATAGCTTTCGCGTTCTTGCTCCGATTGAAGCGATTCTTGTTGCGTCGGAAAGATCTTCTCAAGATCTATCATCAAAATACCTGCTCAAACAAAAATAACACAGAACACATTCCCAAACTCCAGAACACACCACACACAAATTCTTTCACATTCAAACCACACATGCAAGTTGAAAACATGGGATGGGAGGCAGACAGAATGTGATAGCATATGATGACATCACACAACAATCTCCCCCTCTGGCTGCCAACCATCATCGACCATACCACATCTCAAGCATGCATACTCAATGCACACTCATCCCAGCAAGCTTCATGCCCTTCCAATGATCCGCCTCCGCCAGACGCTTAGTGAAAATATCTGCTGCCTGCTGATGGGTCTTCACTATCTCCAGCCGCACCTCCTTATCAAGGATTCTCCTCACCCAATGCCACTTAGGCCTTATGTGTTTTGTCAGCCCATGCAGACAAGCATTCTTGGCGAGCTTCACAGCGGACTCATTGTCACAAAACACAACTGTCGGCTTCTCCTGACCAACTCCCAACTCCTCCAACAAACGCCTTAGCCACACTACTTCCTTGGCCCCATGGTGTAAGGCCATGTACTCAGGGATTGGTGCCCAGTAGCAGTGAGCGATCTCATCTTCCTCAATCTGCTCAACCACACTCCCAGCCTGCACCACATTCGGCTTGCCTCTTCCCCCATAGGTCAGCCTCACAGGAGGGCGCACATCCCTCCTAGGACGCTCAGGCGGGTGTGGAACTCGAGGTGGAGATTCATGCTGCTGCTGCTGCTGCTCCACTCAGCTGCTCCCCCTTCCTCAGTCACCCCAGACATCTCCTCCTCTGACACTGCAACCTCCACCTGTCTTGAAGGCTGCTGCAACTCATCTGCCTCCACAATGAGTGGTGTAGATGGAAGCTTCTGTTGCTGCTGCTTCCATTCCTTATAGTACAGGGACTCAAGAAACTTCACATCCCTTGACACTGTCAGCTTCTGGGTGGTCAGGTCCCATAGCAGCCACCCCTTGTGATCCTTTGCAATCCCCAAGTGCACACCCCATCTTCCAGAAGCCTCCAACTTCCCCCTTTTCTCCTTGGGCACATGAAACACCACCATGCACCCAAATGCCCTCAGCATGTTCACCGCTGGAGCACTCCCATACCACTTGGCATATGGGATCCACTCCTTATCTCCAACTGTAGCCAGCACCCTATTCTTCACAAGGGCGACCTGCCTCAGTGCAGACACCCAAAACGGATCAGGCAGCCCTGCACGCCCAAGGAGAGTGCGTGCCCCCTCCTGCAGGGTCCTGTTGAACCTCTCAGCCACGCCATTCTGCTGCGGGTTGTAGGGCACTGTCAGTTGATGCTGGATCCCCTTCCTCTTCAACTCCCCCTCAAAATCAGCTCCAATGAACTCCCCACCATTGTCACTGCGGATCACCTTCACCTTGTGTCCGCATTCCCTCTGAGCTCTAGGCATCCACTCCTTAAGGACAGCCGCTGCCACCTCCCCCTTGCTCTTCAAAGGGTAAACCCACACTGCCCGAGTGTGGTCATCCACAATTGTCAAGAAATAGCGGCTGCCTGAGAGGGAAGGGGCTCTTGTGGGCCCCACCACATCCATATGCACAAGTGCAAGTGGGGTCTTGGCTGGTCCTGTAGTGCTGTTGAAGGGGAACTTGGAGAACTTGGTCTCCAAGCATGTAGGGCAGCTCCCAATCTCCTTCACTCCCCCTTTCACCTCCAAGCCCTTCAGGCTCCCATCCTTCACCAACTTCTGCAGCATAGGGAAGTTCACATGACACAGCCTCTCATGCCATGTCTCCCAATCGGCCTCTCCACTCCTTGGTGAAGCCTTAGCCCATGCCGCACTCGCATCCACACCAGCAAGCACCTCACCATGTGTCTGCTGCTTCTGCACTTTCTTGACTGCTTCCAGGACCCCATCAGTTGGTGCAGTTGCATCTCCTCCTGCTGTTGCCTTTGCCGCTGCTGCCGTTGCTGCTGTTGGAGTCTTCCCATTCCAAGGGATGATGGGCAGCTGCCACAGGTCCTTGATGCAGCTGGTCTCCTCTTCCAGACTCCACAGCACCTTCTTCCCAAGCTTAGCACGGCAGCTGGTTGGTCCAAAGGTCACTTCGGCCTTACTCTTCTGCAGCCGCCGCACAGAGAGAAGGTTAGCAGACAAGCCTTTAACCAGCAGAACATTCCCAAGCCCCACAAGCTCCCCATTAGCTCCCTTAACCTTGGCATTCCCAACACCAATCACGGGGAGCAAAGCACCTGACGCTGCTGCCACATACTTAATCTTCCCAGGGGGTTTTACCTCATCAAGCAAATCTGCCCGTGGAGTCATGTGACTGGTGCAACCCGAATCAATCACCCAGTGCGTGAGAGGGTGCATCACAACCTTTCCCACAGATCCCACATCACCCTCATGCCCATGCACATCCTCAACCATAACAAACAAACCAGGATAGGCATTACCTTGTGCACCTTCACCTTGTGCACCTGAGCCTTGCACAGCGCCACCTTGTGCGCGTTCACCACTGGGTGGCTTCATGCCTGGAGGTGCCCATCCCTCCGGCCTGCTGAAGCACTTGAACCAAGGATGCCCTATCTTCTTGCAGTACCAGCAGGTGCCCTCCATTCTGGTACTCCCCCTGCCACTAGAGCTCCCATGCCCCTCATTATAGTCACCTCGGCCTCTACCTCTGCCAAAGCTCCTCCCACGGCCTCGGCCTCTCCAACCCCCTCTTCCTCTGCCGCGCCCTGCAGCTCCATACCCCTCAGCAGTCTTAGTGGCAGCACCGCCTCCCACATGGCGTCTGCGGAAGTCCTCCTGCAGAATCTGCTGCCTTAGCCACTCAGGTGTCCATTGATCTTGTTGAGAGTTGAGGGTGGGGATGAGGTTGTCCCAAGAGTTGTCCAACACCGAGATGATCTTGGTGCACTGCTGCAGCTGAGATACACTGCTGCCCGCTGCTGCCATCCTTGCATAGGTGTCCTTGATCTTGTCAAGGACCGGCTTCACATCGTCCCCTGGTTGCATGGAGATGGCAGCAAGTTCCTTCTCGAGCACGATCACCATCAGGAGAGTGTTGGGCTGAACCACATCACGTAGTAGTTTCCACGCCCTTGGACCCGAATCATCCGCTTCCACAAGATCCTTGATGTGCTCGAACATCTCCTTGTTGACCGATTGAAGAATGAGGTCGAAAAGCACCGCGCTTTTCTCAATCCACCGTTCACGTGCTTCGCCTTCTTCCGGCATCTTCTCTTCCCCAACAGCAATCTTCAGGAGCTTGTAGCGTTTGAAGGCACTCCTCATCCGTCCGCTCCATTCCTCATAGTTGGAGCCATCCAAAGCTTCAACTTTTGATGGCGGCGGCTCACTTGTCTTCTCAGCTACAGCTCCTCTTCCATTAGCATCTCCTCCTCTCTCATTCATCTTCTCCTTGAGAAATGACGAATTTCAGCTCCCCTTTGCTGTCCACACTCAGCTCCCTCGATATTTTCACAAGTGTCGGCGTCCACGAAATTTCGGCAGAGTTTCCCCTTAGCGGAAGACACATCCAACCTTTAGAACACCACTTAGGCACACCCACAGGCCATGGTGGGTCTAGAAGGGTCTTCACACTTCTGTAGACTCCTCTCAATGTCCTTAATATCGCTCTGATACCACTTGGTAGGATTAAGGACAGAGTCTAGGTGAACTTAGGAGCTAGAATTACTCAAAATATAAATCCGAAATTCTGGACAGAAAAGTCGTCTTCACAAGAAACGACGTCGACAAAACACTAGCCGTTGGAATGTCGCGAAACTTGGATATGTTGTAGCTCTTGATCTCAGCTACCGTTCCCAATTTGAATCACGTTGATTGATGAAGTATTCGCGACGCTATGGCTTTCGACGCACTAGGGGGTAAGCTGTAGGAGGAGAACTTAACTCAATCTCAAGAGTTCAATCAAAGTTCAAGAATCTCACAAGGAATTAGAAGGAGCAAGAGAAAGGTTGGGATAGAAAGAGAGGGACGAGAGGGAAGGTCCCAAGAGAGTCCCCAACCAAGGAAACCCCATAAGCACAAAGATTCCCTCCCTATAGGAACCTCAACTTTGACCTTTGTCCCTTCCCAACCAATCCATCCAAGTTGGCCACCCTTGCCAACCTAGCTTGGTTGTTCCCAACCAATTTGCAGCTGTTACAGTAGAGTGACAAATTTCCCCAACCCCAAAGGTCCCAACTCCATATAGAGTCACCCCACAACTTCACTTTGTAACCGCCGCAATTGTAACGCAAGCTCATGAACTTTGAATCTTCATAGCTTTCGCGTTCTTGCTCCGATTGAAGCGATTCTTGTTGCGTCGGAAAGATCTTCTCAAGATCTATCATCAAAATACCTGCTCAAACAAAAATAACACAGAACACATTCCCAAACTCCAGAACACACCACACACAAATTCTTTCACATTCAAACCACACATGCAAGTTGAAAACATGGGATGGGAGGCAGACAGAATGTGATAGCATATGATGACATCACACAACACAGATCCAACTTACACATCACCGTTTGAGTCTGCGAGCAGATCGTTATCAATATTTGAATCCGTCTCACGGAAATCCGACCGTGCTCTCTATCTCTCATTATAGGCACATCTAAGCCTATTGTGATTATAACAAAGCCAAGCAAAGCCAAGCAAAGCCAATCGAAGACAAACGATGCCAAGCGAAGGCAAGCGAAGCCAAGCGAAGCCAAGCGAAGCGATGCCAAGCCAAGCAAAGTGATGCGAAGCCAAGCGAAGCCAAGCGAAGCCAAGCAAAGCCAAGCCAAGCGAAGCCAAGCAAAGCCGAGCGAAGCCAAGCGAAGCGAAGCGAAGCAAAGCAAGCCAAGCGAAGCCAAGCAAAGCCATGCGAAGCCAAGCAAAGCCAAGCGAAGCCAAGCAAAGCGAAGCGAAGCCAAGCCAAGCCAAGCCAAGCCAAGCCAAGCCAAGTGAAGCCGAGCGAATCCAAGCGAAGCAAGGCCAAGCAAAGCCAAGCAGCTCGAAGCAAAGCCAAGCAAATCTAAGCGAAGCCAAGCCAAGCCAAGCCAAGCGAAACGAAGCCAAGCCAAGCCACGCCAAGCGAAGAGAGGCCAAGCGAAGCGAAGCCAAGTAAAGCAAAGCCAATGCGACGCGAAGCAACGCCAAGCGAAGCGAAGCCAAGCGAAGCGAAGCGATGCCAAGTGAAGCGAAGCCAAGCCAAGTGAAGGGACGCGAAGCCAAGCGAAGACAAGGGAAGCCAAGAGAAGCCAAGCAAAGCCAAGAGAATCCAAGAAAAGCCAAGTGAAGCAAAGCGAAGCGAAACCAAGCGAAGCGAAACCAAGCGAAGCCAAGCCAAGCGAAAAGAGACCAAGCGAAGCCAAGCGAAGCCAAGCAAAGCCAAGCAAAGTGAAGCAAAGCCAAGCGAAGCCAAGGGAAGACAAGCGAAGCCAAACGAAGCCAAGCGAAGCCAAGCGAAGCCAAGCAAAGCCAGGCAAAGCGAAGCGAAGCCAAATTGAAGCGAAATGAAGCCAAGCGACGCAAAGCGAAGCCAAGCGAAGCAAGCAAAGCCAAGCAAAGCCAAGTGAAGCCAAGCGAAGCCAAGCGAAGCAAAGCTAAGCGAAGCCAAGCAAAGCCTAGCGAAGCCAAGCGAAGCCAAGCAAAGCCAAGCAAAGCCAAGCAAAACCAAGCGATGCCAAGCGAAGCCAAGCGAAGCCAAGCAAAGCCAAGCGAAGCCAAGCCAAGCCAAGCAACGCCAAGCGAATCCAAGAGAAGCCAAGCGAAGCGAAGCGAAGCGAAGCGAAGCCAAGCGAAGCAAAGCGATGCCAAGCAAAGCAAGGCAAAGCCAAGCCAAGCTAAGCCAAGCCAAGCAAAGCGAAGCGAAGAAATGCAAAGCCATGCAAACCCAAGCGAAGCCATTCGAAGCCAAGCGAAGCAAGGCCAAGCGATCCGAAGCCAAGCGAAGCCAAGTGAAGCGATGCGAAGTGAAGCGAAGCCAAGGGAAGCCAAGAGAAGCCAAGCAAAGCCAAGCGAATCCAAGTAAAGCAAAGCGAAGCGAAACCAAGCCAAGCTAAGCCAAGCGAGCCAAGCCAAGCAAAAGGAGACCAAGCGAAGCCAAGCGAAGCCAAGCGAAGCCTAGCAAAGCCAAGCAAAGCCAAGGGAAGACAAGCGAAGCCAAATGAAGCCAAGCGAAGCCAAGCAAAGCCAAGCGAAGCCAAGCGAAGGCAAGTGAAGCCAAGCAAAGCCAAGCAAAGCGAAGCGAAGCCAAGCGAAGCGAAGCCAAGCGAAGCGAACCCAAGCGAAGTGAAGCCAAGCCAAGCCACGCGAAGGGAAGCCAAGCGAAGCGAGCGAATCCAAGCAAAGCCAAGCGAAGCCAAGCGAAGCGAAGACAAGGGAAGCCAAGCGAAGCCAAGCCAAGCCTAGCCAAGCAAAGCCTAGCCAAGCCTAGCGAAGCCAAGCAAAGCTAAGCGAAGCCAAGCGAAACCAGGCGATGCCAAGCGAAGCCAAGCGAAGCCAAGCGAAGCCAAGCCAAGCGAAGCCAAGCAAATCCAAGAGAAGCGAAGCAAAGCGAAGCGAAGCGAAGCGAAGCCAAGCCAAGCCAAGCCAAGCCAAGCCAAGCCAAGCCAAGCGAAGCCAAGCGAAGCCAAGCGAAGCCAAGCGAAGCCAAGCAAAGCGAAGCGAAGCAAAGCAAAGCAAAGCCAAGCAAAGCGAAGCCAAGCAAAGCAAAGCCAAGCAAAGCGAAGCCAAGCAAAGCAAAGCCAAGCGAAGGGAAGCAAAGCGAAGCCAAACCAAGCAAAGCGAAGCGAAGAAAAGCAAAGCCAAGCAAAGCCAAGCGAAGCCAAGCGAAAAGAAGCCAAGCGAAGCCAAGTGATTTGAATCCAAGCGAATCCAAGCGAAATTAAGCAAATCCAAGCAAAGCCAAGCGAAGCCAAGCGAAGCAAAGATAAGAAATGCGAAGCCAAGCGAAGCGAAGCAAAGCGAAGCCAAGCGAAGCCAAGCGAAGCCAAGCCAAGTGAAGCCAAGCGAAGCCAAGCGATTTGAAGCCAAGCGAAGCCAAGCAAAGCCAAGCGAATCGAAGCCAAGCGAAGCGAAGCAAAGCTGAGTGAAGCGAAGCCAAGCGAAGCCAAGCGAAGCCAAGCGAGACCAAGAGAAGCGAAGCGAAGCGAAGGGAAGCCAAGCGAAGCCATGCGAAGCGAAGCCAAGCAAAGCCAAGCGAAGCCAGGCGGAGAAAGCGAAGCGAAGCCAAGCCAAGCGAAGCCAAGCGAAGCCAAGCAAAGCCAAGTGGAGCCAAGCAAAGCGAAGCGAAGCCAAGCGAAGCCAAAGGAAGCCAAGCGAAGCCCAGCAATGCCAAGCAAAGACAAGCCAAGTGAAGCCAAGCGAAGAAAATAAAACCCAAGCGAAGCCAAGCGAAGCCAAAGGAAGCCAAGCAAAACCAAGCAAAGCCAAGCAATGCCAAGCGTAGGGATGCGAAGCCAAGCAAAGCCAAGCAAAGCCAAGCAAAGCCACGCAAAGCCAAGCGATGTGAAGCCAAGCAAACTGAAGCCAAGCGAAGCCAAGCAAACCCAAGCGAAGCCAAGCGAAGCCCAAGGAAGCCAAGCAAAGCCAAGCAAAGCCAAGCAATGCCAAGCGTAGGGATGCAAAGCCAAGCGAAGCCAAGCGAAGCCAAGCAAAGCCACGCAAAGCCAAGCGATGTGAAGCCAAGCGAAGTCAAGCCAAGCGAAGCCAAGCAATGCCAAGGGAGGCCAAGCGATGCCAAGCAAAGCCAAGCGAAGCCATGCGAAGCCAAACGATGCCAGGCAAAGCCAAGCAAAGCCAAGCAAAGCCAAGCGAAGCCAAGCGACGCCAAGAAGAGCCAAGCAAAGCCAAGCAAAGCCAAGGGAAGCCAAGCAAAGCAAAGCGAAGCCGAGCGAAGCCAAGCAAAGCAAAGCGAATCCAAGCGAAGCCAAGCGAAGCCAAGCGAAGCAAGGTGAAGCCAAGCAAAGCCAAGTGAAGCCAAGCGAAGCGAAGCGAATCCAAGCAAAGCCAAGCAAAACCAAGAAAAGCCAAGCAACGCAAGGCGAAGCCAAGTGAAGCCAAGCAAAGCAAAGCCAAGCCAAGCCAAGCCAAGCGAAGCCAAGCAAAGCGAAGCAAAACCAAGCGAAACGAAGCGAAGACAAGGGAAGCCAAGCAAAGCCAAGCAAAGCCAACCGAATCGAAGCGAAGCCAAGCCAAGCGAAGCAAATCCAAGCGAAGCCAAGCAAATCCAATCAAATCCAAACAAAGCCAAGCAAAGCCGATCGAAGCAAAGGGAAGCGAAGCGAATCCAAGCGAAGCGAAGCCAAGAGAATCCTAGCAAAGGGAAGCAAAGACAGGTGAAGCCAGCGATGCCAAGGGAAGCCAAGCGAAGCCAAGCGAAGCCAAGCGAAGCCAAGTGAAGCCAAGCGAAGCCAAGCGAAGCCAAGCGATGTGAAGCAACGCCAAGCGAAGCCAAGGGAAGTGAAGTGAAGCCAAGCGTAGACAAGGGAAGCCAAGCAAAGCCAAGCGAAGCCAAGTGAAGCCAAGCGAAGCGAAGCGAAGCAAAGCCAAGCGATGCAAAGGGAAGCGAAGCGACGTGAAGTGAAGCCAAGCAAAGGGCAGCAAAGTCAAGCGAACCAAGCATAGCCAAGCGAAGCCAAGAGAAGCCAAGCGAAGCAAAGCCAAGCAAAGCAAAGCGAAACCAAGCGAAGCCAAGCAAAGGCAAGCCAAGTGAAGCGAAACGAAGCGAAGCCAAGCCAAGCCAAGCGAAGCCAAGCAAAGCGATGGGAAGCCAAGCGAAGCCAAGCCAAGCGAAGCCAAGCCAAGCCAAGCCAAGCAAAGCCAAGTGAATCCAAGCGAAGCCAAGCGTAGCCATTCAAAGCCAAGCGAATCCAAGTAAAGCCAAGCAAAGCGAAGCCAAGCGAATCCAAGCAAAGCCAAGCAAATCCAAGCAAAGCCAAGCAA